ATAAAATTTTATAAACAAGGGCAACCAAAAATATGTCTTGACATGTATTTTGATACATGAACATGAGTTTGAACATGATATGATAATAACTTACACTCATATTGTATGATATAGCCCTGGTAAAGACTGGTACATTCATGACTTATATATTACCTGTAAAGTGGCACTGACTGTGCGATTATTAAAACATGTCCTACATGTATCAGTGTGTCATATAGTAAACATGCTCTAATTGAAACTGATGTCGAAATGTCACAAGAATGACAGAGCAGTTTGTTTCGTAAACATAACCTGCATGCCACACAAATATGACATGGATCTTTCCTGATTCTCTATATAATGTTTTATTTAATGTACATTCTGGACATGCATTAAGCTAGATATTAAACCTTAACCTGAAAACCTTCTCGATTGGAGGAATCCGGCTTCCATTTTTTGTCCATTATTAATTTTGGGAAGTTTCTTTAGGAAGTTTTGTCAGCCATCAGTCAACAGACTGGCCAGACTGCATGGTACTGAAGGAAAGCCCTGCTCTATAATAGTGGCAAAGGCCAATCACTGTTAGGTCCACCAGGTCATGGGTTAACAGGAATTTGACTGCATGTGATAAATATTACCATTCTAAACTCCAATTGAATGTCTCAAACAACAATTATTATAAAACTCATCATTTAAATGCACCTCCTGCATAAGTTTATAACATATTGTCTATGCAAAACCTATAAACAACATTCTTGTCTCAAAACGAATGACAAATTAATTTCCAATTAATTGCACCAATACACATATCTGACAGAGAAATTATTACACTGTCACAAATGACATCATAGATACATGCAGAGGGAAGGTCAAATGTCAACAAATGACCTCCAGCTACTTGTCAATGTCAACCAGTTGCTATGGAACAAAGGTCAGAAAAGTGGATCAATTAATAAGAGGTCATGATTGCTTCATATGCTTGTCTCAGCACAATTACTACACATTAGACCATCAGAATGTACCTGGATATTTAAAAGTTTATAAGAAGGCATCTGACCTTTGTGACCTGATTGCATTTGTCATATAACTGACACTCTAATATTAGTCAAGTTGGCTGTTTACTTGCAATTAGCACAAGTTCCATACATTTATCTGGTACTAACTTGTTCCAATCAGTAAAATGACATTTGCGAGATGAGGACATAGATATGAAACCTTGCCTGAAAACTACATGAAGCAACATAAAAATCTCTCTCTACTAATCTTATCTAATCTACATTTAAGAAATTTATTTTGGACCACCCATTTACTATAGAGTAGAAGTCCACTACTTATTCTAAAACTGTTTATAAATTCCCAGCTATTAAATCATATCTGAATAATTTTGGCACAAATGTTTTGTTCTGTTTTACTGATTCAATCTTGATACTGTCCAGTCTACCAGAAGTGGTTCAGTTCCGGTAGAAATCTCTCTTGTTCTGATAACTTCTGACAGAATAAGATATCTCAACCTATCCAAATATCACAGCCTCATGACGAATACAAGATGAATATAAGATGAGATCTCTAGAGAAGATCTTATTAATTTGTCTTGTCAAAATAGTGCCACTTCTAGAACTATATTCTCCAGTTTTTCAATCAAGTAGACTGGTGATTATCTTTTATGACAGTTCAGAATATACATAATTTCAGCAAATCAAAAAGAACTTTACAATTGTAGTTGTTAACAATCAAACTTGCTTGCATCAAATGATTTTTTTATATGCAAGAGGAAAAGGTTTTTTTTTTATCAAAGAGTATTTTACAGTATGTAACAATGAAATAGTTCTATAGAATAAGTATACCATAGAATGCATTCATTAATTTAATGATTGACATATATATGTTGAAATGTTTCTTCTGAATAAAAACCTATTAAACTTTAATACAGTTGTAGATGGAGGTTAATACCACCCAGATGGTCTCCTGAAATGTAGCAAATTTCCGAATGCATTCAAAATATAGATTTTTCTTAGCATTAACTCATTATCGGAGCCATACAAAAAAAGAAAAAGTAAATTGAAACATACTGAGTAACTAGAAATGTGTCCATAGGACACGGATGCCCCCACACGCCACTGTTCTGTCAATCTTATGACTCTAGGTCAAATATTGTTTGGACTACATGTGCCACAAGTTGAAAACTAAAAATCAACAAAGGGCCATAATTCTGTTAAATTTGGTCGCAACAAAAATTCCTTCCTTTACTACCATCTACACATTAAGGTTGTTAATCCCTGGAAGTTTAAGCAAAATCTGCCATCTGGTATAAGAGGAGTTGCGTTCACAAAATTTCTACATAGTATATAATGAAAAAATCAACAAAGGGCCATAATTCTGTTAAATTTGGTTGCAGCAAAAATTCCTTCCTTTACTGCCATCTACACATTAAGGTTGTTCATCCCTGGAAGTTTAAGCAAAATCTGCCATCCGGTTTAAGAGGAGTTGCATTCACAAAATTTCTACATAGTATATAGTGAAAAAATCAACAAAGGGCCATAATTCCGTAAAATTTGGTCGCAGCAAAAATTCCTTCCTTTACTATCATCTACACCTTAAGGTTGTTCATCCCTGTAAGTTTAAGCAAAATCTGCCATCCGGTTTAAGCGGAGTTGCGTTCACAAAATTTCTACATAGTATATAGTGAAAAAATCAACAAAGGGCCATAATTCTGTTAAATTTGGTCGCAGCAAAAATTCCTTCCTTTACTACCATCTACACATTAAGGTTGTTCATCCCTGTAAGTTTAAGCAAAATCTGCCATCCGGTTTAAGAGGAGTTGCGTTCACAAAATTTCTACATAGTATATAGTGAAAAAATCAACAAAGGGCCATAATTCCGTAAAATTTGGTCGCAGCAAAAATTCCTTCCTTTACTATCATCTACACCTTAAGGTTGTTCATCCCTGTAAGTTTAAGCAAAATCTGCCATCCGGTTTAAGAGGAGTTGCGTTCACAAAATTTCTACATAGTATATAGTGAAAAAATCAACAAAGGGCCATAATTCTGTTAAATTTGGTCGCAGCAAAAATTCCTTCCTTTACTACCATCTACACATTAAGGTTGTTCATCCCTGTAAGTTTAAGCAAAATCTGCCATCCGGTTTAAGAGGAGTTGTGTTCACAAAATTTCTACATAGTATATAGTGAAAAAATCAACAAAGGGCCATAATTCTGTTAAATTTGGTCGCAGCGAAAATTCCTTCCTTTACTACCATCTACACATTAAGGTTGTTCATCCCTGTAAGTTTAAGCAAAATCTGCCATCCGGTTTAAGAGGAGTTGCGTTCACAAGATTTCGGGACGTACGGACGGACGGACGGACTGACGGACGGACGGACGGACAAGTGCAACGCTATATGCTCCCACATTGTGGGGGCATAAAAACTAAAAGTATTGAGTTAACACTATAAAAGAACATCATACATGTAACATATGGTGTAAACCACAGAACCAGTCAGCCTGTCTGCACAATGACTTTTATCATGACAGAAAAAAAGCACATCCCACAAATGATAAAAAACATGTTGTGAACCATTCAAATTTTGAGTTAACAATAGCTGCAATCTGATATCAATCAGGAAATACAGCTCAAGAAAATGATTCAAATCATTCAGGAAAGCTGACAATTTTCCAGTTATAGGATAAAATTAGTCAATGCTTTTGAATATTGAGAAAAACATCAATGTCAAATTTTGAAATTTATTGAATTTCCTTTGCAACAAAACATGAACATAGATAAAGTTAACAATTTCTCATAGAACAGAAATGATAAAACAATGACAAAATTATACCGTGAACACACTTTTAATAAAACAGCCTAGCTAAATAAATGAAATCAAGTATTGTAAACTTGGGGGGCTTCAATGACCAAGAAGTCAAAGTTACTGACTGAATCATTTGCCTTAACAGCTGTGAGTCTGAATTCCACCAGGAACTTTGAATCCTAGGTATAGACAACTACTAACAGAGGATTGGTTGTTCTGATCTTTCCTAAAATATTGCATTGATAGACATTTAAACTAGTCTTCCAGCATCAGTTTAATTAGAAAGTTGCCATGTGACCTATACAGAGGTGATGCAACTTAAAACCTAACCAGAAAACAAACTACAATGTTACTAAGAAGATAATACAAGGTTTAATATTAAAGCTATACGGCCTGTTATGAAATCCCTTTTAATGGTGCTCATGTTGGAAAGAAATCTATCCTTTATCAGGCCTAGACAAAATGAGAAGTGCAGTGTCACAATGACTTGGAGAAACAATCAATGTATTCTATAAAGCTTTTATAAACAGTAGCAAATACCCTATCATTCATTAGCCACAGGTACAGACATAGTTAGGTGATTGTGATCCTACAAATCTTTAGTGCTAACACCAATTAATCTTTTGATGATAAAGAGTAAGATATCTTGTTTACTTTCTGATTATAATGATTGTAAAACAAACAGGACAAGCTTTGAATGTGAAACATTGGTACACCACACTGGAAACCAAGAATGTACCCTTTAACACTGTATTAACATAGTATCCCACATTTATGAAGAGGGTGTTGGTTTTTTTCACACATGCATACTGTGATATCTGTGGAATACAATATTGCACTTTCACCTTACAAATACTTTTTTGCCAACCTTTTTGGTCCATTTTTTAGCAGTTCAAAAGGGTCCAAATTTTTTCAAAGCAAGAGAAATATGTTTAATGAAAGCAGACAGTCACCTTTGAAAAAAAATGTGTTAAATGTATTCCTATCTTGGAATGATAATATTCACCAACGCCATTTCTGATATAGGTTAATTAACCCTTACATTATGCTTGAATTGAAGCTTACAAAACCTTGATCCGACAAGGCCAATCTGTACATGCATGCAGTGTGGTCAAACTGTAAACTGACCAACAACAAATATTCCTATATGATATCACTAAAATATATAAGAAGGACAAGACAATATTCAGTATATTCATCAGGATAATCTAACTTACCTTCATATGAAGTATATCTGAAGTCGAATTCTCTCGGAAAACTGTCCAAGACTGGTTCCAAACTGTGAGATAAAACTAAAATCCACAATAGAATAAAGAAGGACACAAAACACCTCCTTGGCTCACACATTCTTTAGTAAAATCTCTGTCAAACCTGGTGTCATCCTGAACATTATCTACATGTCATCTGAAAACAGAAAATATATCAGTTAAGTAACATGTTATCATTATTATCATTATAATTTAGCATTAAACATGTAATTCTTAATTAATCCTTTTCTATTGCTGCTTTCTTGCATAATTAATCAGTCATAGAGGAATCGACTCACTGCCTGGATGTGTAAGTAAGTAACACCTTTATTTACTGAGGCTTACATTTAAGGTTTAAACTAAATCTATTCATGTGACCAATGAGGACCAAGGTTAGTCAGCACATGATGCTGCCTGGTCTGCACTGACCACTATTCAGCCAGTAGTTATCTGTAAATTTTCATTTTAAATAATGAATGATTTTGTTTGGATACTAAAAGTTGAAACGGTTAAACCACACAGAGGTTTGGTCAGGCAGGTACTTTTCTCTGTGGCACATGCCAGTCATTGTGTTTCACAAATGGTTGCAATACAACTCTGACACAATTTTTTCTGCCCTCATAACAATTTTATTTTTGACCTTTATCAAATTTAAAGTTTGGAACCTTTACTATCATTACATAATTGTAAAACACATAAAAAGAACATTTGATTGTGGCTTGACCTAATGTGAAACAAAGACTTAAATAGAGAAAAACAGACTTTTGTTTGCTAAAGAACCAGTAAGAGACTAAAAATGTGAGAGATTTGGAATAGAGCATGTGGACATAACATGCTTTCTTTCTTATTTGTATAAGCTTAAGAATTTTACTTTTTAAGTATTTGGACGAATTCTTTCTGCATTCCAGATCAAATAAAATAAACATTGTAGGGACAAAAGCTACATAATTAATGACCTCACCTAAAGCCAATATGTCAGGGTCTTTAATCTTTCCTTTTAAAATGTAATTAAACTGAAAGTTTTACATCAGCAGTATATTTTTCAAAGTTGTATATGAAGAGCCCTACAGTGGACTGTATTTTGGTAAGGTTGGGGACTGAGTATCCATGCCATATTTGGACAGGGTTTAATTGTGTTTATTTAATATAAATCTCTATAATCTTATAATATATACAGTCAATAAAACAGACAAACAGACTTTCTCTCCCAACCATAAATATCTTTCCCTTGATAGTTTATGATATAGGGAAAATGAGGCAAATATACACATACATCTTTATTGATGTCCAGGAACTAAATGTAATATAATAAGCTCAAACGGTACAGGATAAACCTATAATGCAACTAGCAACTTTTTGAAACAAAGATTTTCAGACACATATAAGGTCAATTATTACAAGATGATTATAAGAGTTGAGCTATTTAAATAACAATTAAAAGGTAGCCTTCACTAAATAACACGTTTTCCTAAAATAGAGTAAAACAGAATCTCTAAAGAAAGCCCAGCATGGCAAAATTGTAAATGTTGCAGGCTCGCTTTAATTGAGCCTGTTCATGGACGGTAGTCAGGTGATTGCAAGCTACCCTCCACACCCCCTTAGCACCAGCTTAAGCAGAATAGTGAAATTTTGAACTTTCGTCGTATATTTTACCATTCATTTTCTGAAAATTTTCCTTTCTTTTGTTGCTAGTTTGCATGATGTTTGATTTAATTTTGTTTAAGTAATTGTTTGTATAAATGCATGTGTAAATGATTGTTCGAAATACCTCGAGGAAGACAGAATTTATCCCATTGAGTTTCCTTTGGTAAATAAAGTATAAAATTTCTTTAAAAATTTCAAAGGAAAACTATTCTGTCTTTCTTTTATTTGACATTAACTGCTGTTTTTTTCTAATTTCATTATAAAGATTGCAAAAACTTTTTCAATCTTCACAATCATGTCATACATCTAAATCAATAAATCTTGTATAAAATTAAATTTAAATGTACAATTTCAGTTAAATTCTGTCAATGAAAAAAACCCTCTTCAAACATAATAATCTGATGTAAATCTTTTTAATTAAAAAATATAAAAATCAATTCAGCATCAAACACATATTATGGCAAATAAAAATATATTCAGCAAAATATTTTTTTTTCATCGTTAACACATATAATTATTTATCTTTAAAAAAATTGTGAATAATTATTTTTGGCGCCTAGATTAGAATCAATTTTATGCAACAATAAAAAAAAAATGCCTTTATAGTTATACTGTATTATATATACATGTATATAATACACATTTATTCGAAATTATGTCCGGACTGAAACAAATTAAAAAAAATTGTGTACATACATAGATTTTATTATCCATTTACTTTCATTAGATAACTTTTTAATATATTGATTATTAAAAATTATATCATATATATTAAATATTATATCACAGGTAAATAACAAACAAATCCTGTTACATTGTTTCTATAATAATGAAATTTAAGATTTTTTATTTAAATTTTGGCACCCCTATTTAAAGTTGATCTGGACAGATTTATTGTACTAAATAGACCTTAATCTTGTTCAAGTACTCTTCAAAGTAAGGAATATCAAGTTATTATTCCACCCCATTAGGTACATAATCCAAACCTAGATTGACTTAAAAAAAAGTCATCTTTATAAATTAAATTATATACCTACTCTCTCTCTCTCTCTCACTGTGTTGATATATTACTATATTTATTTATAAATCTTAAGAAGTTTTTTTTACTGAAATATGTTCATTTCATAATTTGTTCATATTGAATATCAATATTGTTCTTCAAGATGTCCACGTACATGATTGTATCAAAAAACAAAAACAATTCACTAAATTTAAATAATACTAATTGAAATTACATTAAATTATCAACTTCTTGTATTATAATACATTGCATTGTAAATAATCAATTTACTATGGCATTAAAAGTTTAACAACATCATATATATCTAATTGGTCACCTTGTCAATTTCTTAAGTCCACACCAAGACAACTTTTGCAAAGTTGTTCCCAGATAATCACCACTTCAAAATGTTAATTCCCTGTCACTATAATTCTTTTTTTTTAAAACAGCTGTTATTGTATTTTACATCCAAAAATCCCTCAAAAAACAAATCTCATTATTGTTTGACGTGTACTACCACAACTGTTGCCTCTTTACATGTAGCCTTTGACTCCGCTTAAAGAACTTTAATCAAATGTAAATGAAAAACAAACAATAACTTAGTGTGAAATATAAACACTCTTTTCTGCAATAACAAGCTACTTGAGTTTATCAAAATAAATAGAGGACCGCTACAGTTAAAGACTTGTATAGTCTGGAGATTTGTAACAAAGCCTTATAAAAGACCCCTGATAAAATATTAACAAATATTATAACAGGTCAATAGGACCAAGTTGACCGATGGTGGACAATTATACAATTGTAACTCTTCTATGACACTTGGCCATTAACATTTGTTGAGTAATTTTTAACTCGATTAATCTTCTAAGACTTGATAAACTATAATATAAACATTCCATACTTCCCTATATATGATAATATATTCAGAAATAAAATTTGATTCATTTGTAATAATAATTGTCATGATTTTATACTACAATCAAAATTTAATTCGACTGAATGTTTAAACAGCGAGAATTATTAGGTCAATAGACTATTAAAGTTTGCATGTTCAAACAATACCAGGCTTGTAACATATTATGTGTGTATAATTTTCTTAATCCTTAAAATCTGGTGGAATCAAAATGATTAGCCTTTGTCAAACAACAACTTATAGCCTGACTAAGGGGGCCAAATGCCACTGTGATCTCATACAACAGATCTTCTAAGAGAAAATTGTATTACAATTGTAACTGACATTCTGATACAAAATCAAAGAATGTTCATTATGTCGCGGTTCAGATGACTGTTCACTATTTAGGGGAGATTATGTGTAAGTGGCTGGATAGCTCAGCCGATAGAGCCAGTGTACGGTATTCCGAGGGGTCCCTGGTTCGAGTCCCATTCAGACTGCACATTATTCTCACCCTGTGACATTTGGCGCCCAATGGGGACCATAACTGCAAATATATAGAGTTTAATTAGCATTGCTTGGTAACCCTGAGAAATTCGAGGATGAATTTCAATACAGCAGGGGAGTATGTCACTGTTCAGAACTGTTCACTATTTAGGGGAGAAAATGTGTTAGCAGCCAGATAGCTCAGTCGGTTGAGCCGCAGAACATTAATCCGAGGGTCCTGGGTTCAAGTCCCTGTCAGGCTGCACATTTTTCTCACCCTGCAACAATCACTTAAATGGCAGCTTGCAAACTTAAAATGTAAAATCAGGAGCCTCTCAAAACATTGTTAATCAATGCAATGATTGTTGAGATATTTGGTCCCATTTACCTCATTTGATCTTATTGAAAATCGGCTATTCAAAGAAAAGAAACATTGTAATGAAAAAAATGTAGGAGGAATTTCAAAGTAAGATCATATTTGGAAACAATGTTTTAGAAAATATTTTACACATTGTTTTTTCAAATAAAAATAGGGAAACAAGACAACCTACTAGGTGGAGAATTATTCAAACAAGAGCATTTTATAGTATCTGTGTAAAGTTGTAATGTTTTTATAAAACTTAGTGCTTCAACAACCACTTTAAAAATGACTTTTAACATCATCAAAGTAATGTTAACTTGCAGCTGTTTCAATGAAGAGCCATTCTGTAAACAACAAGTCATTTATCTTTATTTATCTTTTCTCTTCAAATGTTCCTTTTTCAATGATTATTTCCAATATTCTCGCAATATTATCCAAAATGCATAGTTTTTAATGTACATGTGTTTTTGAACTAAAATACAGGCAACTGCATGTTCAAAATTTTGATGTGCATAACCTTAGTAAAAAAAATAATAAAAACCCACTTCTTTCTTATTAGATTTTCATGTACATCAATAAAATGATTATTTTAATGAACGGAATTGTCTGTTTAGGGAACATTATAGTCTCAATATTACAGAAATATAAAGTGATTTAAAAATCCTGTAACTCAATTTTTTTATGGTTTTATATCATAAATATAATGCTCAAATTAAGATTAGTTTCAAAAAGCATTATTAGTAAAGATGTTTTTTTTAAATAAGAAATGAATGC